AAACCGTTGGTATTTGACTTATCAAAGATGATACTTTCTCCGAGGTCATCATACCGTTCGTGGGTGATTGACCGCTTCAGTTTATGTGTGGTGGTAAACTTCACGTGGTTGATTGCTGCTTCGTCGCCTCCACCGATGATCATTTGAATGGTGGGGGCAGGGGAGGGTGGCTTTGGTAGGCCTTGGTGTTGTTCTCGTCTGCGGCCGAAATTGGCTCTTCCTCGGTCGCTCATTAGCTCCCTTAGGTGCCCTTGGTGGAACATGTTCACTACCTGCCGTAGGGCTATGCAGTCCTCAGTTTTTTGACCTCGCTCCTGATGAATTCACAGAGAACGTTCAACTTTCGGGTACTTGGGTCGGACTTCATCTTCTATGGCCACTTCACCTTCGGGCCGAGCTTCTCTAGTGCATACACTATTTTTGAAGGGGAAAAAATGTTGAGAAGATAATAGTGGAGGCATACCTCTTTCGTTCCACTGAGTCCCTGTATGCGGCCTGGACAGTCCTTTCGCATGGCGAGGAGATGGTGGGATGGATGTTCTGACATAAGGTTGGTGCCTGTCTCGGTTGAGGCGTGGACCTGACTGATCTCTTCGACCGTCATTAAAACGGTCTTTCCTTGGCTCTGTTTGGACCGATGTTAACCATTGGATTGGATCATTAAGGTCTTCCTCATCTGCTCTCACCTCGGCGTAGTAGGCGTTGTGAATTTCTTCCCAAGTAGTGGGATGGTATTTCATGAGTCTGCTTAATAGTTTTCTTTTCGCTCTTGATCCATTCCTGCTCAACCCATTTTGGAAAGCAGCCACTGCCATCCCTTCCGTTACATTTGGTAAGCTCATTCTTACTTTGTTAAACCGAGCTAAAAAGTCCATGAGTCCCTCGCCAGGCAGTTGCCTAACGACGAATATATCATTTACTCTGGCTTCCACCTTCTTAACCCCGGCGTGGGCGGTGACGAACTTGTCGGCCATTCCTTCGAACATTGTTATAGATCGTGTTGGTAACTGTTAGTACCAGGCTAAGGCTCCCCCGGTTAAGGTCTCGCCAAACTTTTTCAATAACACTGATGGTACTTGCTCCTTTGAGAGGTCGTTGCCCTTTACTGCTGTAACGTAGTGAATGATGTGATCTTCGAGATCTGTTGTGCCGTCATATATCTTCAAATATGGTGGCATCTTGAAGGTTTTGGGTATGGCATGTGGGGCTGCCTCCTCGCTGTATGGTTGTTCGACGAATCAGCCGACATCCCATTTTGGTAGCAGTTTTGGGGCGCCCGGTATCTTATCGACCCTTTCATGATGTTCCCTCATCTGGTCGCAGAGTTTTTTGTTCTCGTTTTCCATTTCTTCAATTTTCTTTAGAATGGCTGCAAGTGCATCGTTACCTGCATCAACAGCGGTGTAAGTATTACCTGTTGAGGGAGCGGGTTGCTCGTCGGCGATCGCTGTGATATCTATCTGTATGACGTTTTTAGTCGCCCGTTGAGCGGGTTTGTCGAGTATGTCGCTTAGAGTGCTTGTCAGCCACGTCTCCAGTAGTTTTTTTATTGCTGGTGGTGCTTCCTCAGCTGTGGATGTGGAGGCTCCCCTTTCACGTGAAGCGGTTACACTTCCATGAGGGGGAGGTGAGTCGCTCCGCCGGGCGTAGCACTCGGGGCTGTGTTCTCTTCGCCTTCTCTGTCAGCCTCGTTGATGGCGTTCATGAGGTTGACAGTGACGTCTACTACTGCTTTCAGTTTTTCATCTCCTTTCCTTGCCATTGTTAGTTCGTGCAGACGAGAAAAAGGTGGTTGTTCTTCTTTATGATCTAGAAGAAACTAAATAAAAAAATTAACTAAAAAACTTCATACAGACGGCGCCAAATTGTTTGACCAAAAGTGTTAAACCTTTTGTTAAACTAATTAATGATGAAATAAAGGGTGAATCTTAGTTAAATATAGTAAGTTCCAGATCAAATATTGTAGGATATCGGTAAGATGAACATCGTTTGAGAGCAGTAAATAGCAGATTTATACTCAGTGATTGCCAATAAATATTGTAACATGAACATGCAATAAATGTAGATAATGCCAATAAATGTAATAAGAAAGAATCTATCACCCAATTATTATATGATTTGGATGCTTCTTCCATCTGACAATAACGTGGAAAAATGAAAAGTGAAGATGGATAAGGTATCTTTGGATCTTGTGACCAAAGATTAAATAACGTGTGCTTGAATAAGATAATCGGTAAACAAGAGAACTTTTGTATATTCTTTCTAGTCAACCTTTTACAATCTGCTCTTATCAAAAAGTGAAGATCCCCTTTTTGTTCACTATCTCTTCCTATTTATAAAGGTTCCCAAGAAACCCTAAAAGTACATAACAAGGAATATCCAAAGGAATATTCCTTATGTCCATTTCTAAACCTATCCTATCGTTATTTCTTTACTCCAGTTGCTCGTCCTCGATAATAATCCTTCTGAGGACGACTCCCCGCTATTATGCTGTGGTCGACCCGGCCTCGATCCTGTTTATTTTCTTTTGTCAAGAAGCCAAATTTAGACCAATACACGAACTATTACACTGAATCGTGGTTTACCCATAGCATACCCAAAAATAACGGTTGCGAGTTCTCTAGTTTGAAAAATATATATATGTGTACTGATCATTAGATAAGTGTTGCACCATGACTCAACCATCGTTTTCAACTTAAAAAAATTACTTTGGATGCTTATCATGGTGTAATTTTCACCCTATCAACATCAAAGCTTTATTGCTGGAATTTTGATATTTGTTTGTTGGTACTGACAAATGACAATAAATATTTTGTGGCTTTCTTTCATTTGTTACTTATATAATTTATTGTTAAGAAAGTACTGCGCTAACTTGTTACCCTTGTCTTACACTTGCTATCCAGCATATACAAACTGGTCCTTGCCTATTCATATCACAATCAAAAGAAAGGGTACATGGTATTTGCCGACTTATTTTCTCCTTCCAATTTTTCTTTTTAAACAAATTTTGTATGGGTCAATATCTGATCAAGGGGATCTCGCCTGAAAGAGAGCAATCAAGAATCAATTAGGCCGAGGCCATGCTTAAGAAGTAACGTTGGCGAGCCGAGTAGCTAAGGTCGAGGTCGAGCATTCAGATCGACCAAAACGGCTAGTTTAGCAATAAGATATTTTAAAGGAATATTCCGCGAAATATTCTCTGCACTTGTACTTTCAGTAGGTAAGGGATATGTCCCATATAAGTAGGGAGAGAGAGAGAGAGAGAGAGAAAGAATAGGGCATGTAATATTCTATTTGATAAGCTCTCTCTAGAAAAGATGACTCTCAAATAACTACAAACATTATCTTTACACAAGATTCGATTTGTTGTTTATTGCAAGATTTCCCACATCAGATTCGATAAAGTTTTGTATATTCCCACGTTTGGTTACCTTACATCACTGTCAGAGGGAGAATCATTCACCTCATTGAACATTTGGGTGAATCATTCTCTCTATTTACATTTATTGCCATTTATCATATTTGTTGCTTGTCCTTATCCCCTCATTCATTCATAACAGTAACATTAAACATCCCCTTGGTATTTAATAGCTTTGAATACGGTTTTATATTATTGCTATCCATCAATCTTGGATCTAGGATTTATTATATTTAACTAGAATTTACCCATCATCATTTATTTAATTAGTTTAACAAAAAGGTTTAACACTGTTTGGTCAAACAATTTGGCGCCGTCTGTGGAAATTTTCTAGTTAAAATTTTAGTTTCTTCTAGATCTAAAAAAAGGGAACGCACAAAACTTTGCAAAATCTCGTATCTCTTTGTTTGCACAAATCTGACATGGCAGGCAACAGAGAGGAAAAGAGAAAGGCGATAGCCGATCTCACTGCCAATCTCCTCAACATCATTAACGAAGTAGACGAAACGGAGGGTGTGGACATAACACCAAACACCTTTCCCAAGCGAAACAGCTCGCCTCCACCTCCCGAAAACGTCACGGCCTCGCACGGAAATGGTGCCTCTATGTCCACGACAGAAGAAGCACCACCAGTAGTGAAAAATTTACTCGAGGCATGGTTGACAAATACGCTAACCGGCATCCTCGACAAGCCCGCTCGGAGGTCGAATAGGGAAGAAACAAGAGCTGGTGTCGCATCAGCAACCGACGAACAGCACGCTCGCCCCTCCCTTCCCCCCCCCCCCCCCCCGCATCATGTATTACTCACATTGTTAGTGATGCAGGTAATGATACCCTCACAGCCATTTTGAGGAAAATGGAGGAGATGGAAAACGAGAACAAAATGTTTCGTAGCCAAATGAAAGAGCACCAAGAAAGGATAGACAAAATACCAGGTGCCCCAAAACTTCTGCCAATAAGAGACGGCGATTGGTTTATTGAGCAACCATATAGCGACGAGGCTGCACCACATGCCATACCGAAAATTTTCAAAATGCCGCCATACTTGAAAATATATGACGGCACGACAGACCCGGAGGATCATGTGACCCACTATGTTACTGCAGTGAAAGGCAACGACCTCGCAAAAGAACAAGTATCATCCATATTGCTGAAGAAGTTTGGAGAGACCCTAACCGGCGGGGCCCTGACTTGGTACTCGCAGTTACCTGCGCGCTCCATAGAAACGTTCGAGGAAATGGCCTACAAGTTCGTCACCGCCCATGTTGGGGACAAAAAAGCAGAGGCGAGGGTGAACGGCATATTTGCCATTAAATAATCGCTTGGTGAAGGGCTCAGGGACTTCCTCGCACGGTTCAATCGTGTAAGAATTACCTTTCCGAATGTATCTGAAGGAATGGCGGTAGCCGCATTCCAGAATGGGCTAAGTAGAAGTGGGTCGCGGGCGACCAAAAAATTGCTGAGTCGACTCATGAAATACCCTCCCACCACTTGGGACGAGATACACATCGCCTACTGTGCCTAAGTAAGAGCCGACGAGGATGATCTCAACGGACCTACCAAATGCTTGACCTCGACCCAAATGGAGTCTGGGAAAGATCGGAGAAATGACTGCAGGAGGGATCTAGCAGGATTCTGGACTAATCGAGAAAGACATCAGCCTTATGTCAGAAGCACACTCATACCGCCCCCACACCACGATGAAGGTCCATCCAGGCCGCGAACGGAAACCCACAGAAATGAAAGAAGTATGCCCCCCTTATTATCAACTCACAATTTTTGTGTTTCCACCTCGGGAATAGTCTACGCACTGAAAAAGCTCGGCCCAAAGGTAAAATGGCCACAGAAGATTCGGTCAGACCCGAGCACCAGAAAGTCAAATGCCCTCTGCGAATTCCACCAGGAACGAGGTCATAAGACCGAGGACTGCATCGCCCTTAGACAGGAGGTCGTGAACATGCTTCACCAAGGGCACCTAAAAGATCTGATGAGCGATTGTGGGAGGGCCAACTTTGCCCGAGGGCGAGAACGACACCAGGGGCCGCCCAAACCACCTTCCCCAGGTCGGACCATTCAAATGATCATCGGAGGAAGCGACGATGCATCCATCAACAACGTGAAGTTCACCACCACCCATAAACTCAAGCGGTCAATCACCCACGAACGGTATGATGAACTCGAAGAAAGTATCGTCTTTGATAAGTCAGATACCCACAGTTTGGTCTTTCCTCACTATGACGCCCTTGTCATTACTTTGCGTATTTTTGATACTGATGTAAGACGTATTATGGTCGATGATGGAAGTGGCACGTGCATCATCCATCCTCGAGTTCTCACCCAAATGAAGCTCGAGGACAAGATAGTGCCACGCTGCATCACGCTAACAGGTCTTAACAATGCAGTTAAGCGGACATCTGGAGAGATCACACTGGTCGTCCTGGTCGGCGGCGTCACCTTGGAGACCACGTTCCACATCATGGACTAGGATACGACGTACAATGCCATCTTAGGCCGACCATGGACACACGCTATGAAAGTCGTCCACTCCAGTTTGTACCAAGTCATTAAATTTCCCACCCCCTCGGGAGTATTCTGCATCCGGGGAGAGCAACGCACAGCCCGAGAATGCTACCGCATCGCCCAAGACTGCACATACACCCAACACTTGAAAGGAAAAGTCGAGAAAGCATAGCAATTAACAAAGTCGGGGTCAGATGGAGATGAAAGGGAAGACGTCATCAGCGACCCTGAAATCAGAGAAGCCACAGGGTCAACCGTAGAGGACCTCGACCCCGTTCAGTTAGATGACGACGACCACAACAAGAAAGCTTTCATCGGCCATAAACTCCAAGATCCAGGTAAATTTCACCAATTCTAAAAAAGTGACGTAGCCTTATTTGCTTTTTCCCATGCAGACATGCCAGGTATCCCAAAGGAGATAGCAACCCACAAGTTGAACGTCAACCCATTTTACCCCCCGGTAAGGCAAATTAGACGAAAGTTCAACTCTGCAATAAATGACGCGGTTCATGAAGAGGTCGAGAAATTGTTAGTGAACGGTTCTATCAGAGAATCGAAGTACCCTCAGTGGGTCGCCAATGTGGTCATGGTGAAAAAGAAGAACGGTAAGTGGCGGATGTGCGTGGATTTCACAGGTCTGAACAAAGCATGCCTAAAAGACTCGTTCCCACTTAAAGTTAGAAAAGATCTATGTGCAAAGAAACGTCGTACTTCTTCAGTATCGTGAATCGCAAGTGGAAGAAGAAGAAGTGGAGTAGGGGGGGGGGGGGAATAAAATGGGTTGGGAAAGATGAGGTGGCATGCCATGTGGTGTCCACTTTATCAAAACATTAATGCCACATAAGATTAGGAGTCCACCTTGGACAGACTTAACGGAGAGTGGTATATTTGAACTATTTAGAATCGGCAGAGGTACTTTTATATGGATAGTATAACAGAGGGTAATAATGATCATTTTCCCTAGAATTTATGTGGTGTTATTTGATTATGTATGAAATTTAGCTTCTCTTTTTTTTTTCTTGAAATTTAAGGTCTAAAGCAAGTTATAGAATTTTGTTGATTATAAAATTTCATTACGAGTATACTAAAAATATGACATATAAATTGAAAATTGAGTAATGAAGTTCCAAATTCCAAACTTGGGAAACTCCCCCGTTTGTGAAGCCGCCGGTTGACCCGAAAAAGGGTAGAAAGAAAAGCGGGTCCGCTGCCCGTTTTTGTTGGGATGTATTGATCTCAGCCGTTCAAGTATTGCTATGATTCATAATTGATTAAATCTCACCCCTTTACCTTTTCCCCTCTCTCTCTCTCTGTCTTTTTGTAGTGTAGTGGTTGGTTTGACCAGAGAATTTGATCAAAAAATCATAGATGAGGTCAACCTCTCGTCCATTTTATTGATTTTAAAAAGCACAAGTTTACGACTAATGAAAAATATGAATATTACCCTTTTTACATGTTAAATTATACTTCAAAAACATTTTTAGCAAATCCAATACTCCCTCCGTCTCATATTATCAGTCGTGATTATTAAAAATAATTATCTCAAATTATTTTCAAGAGAAAATTAACCATTTTTTTCTTTTTTTACCTTTAGTAATAATTATCCTTGAAGACTACAAACACCTCAATTATGAACAACTTTGTTCAAATACCAATGAAGAAGGATTAAATATTAAGACATGAATAAGGGTAAAGTAGTCAAAATTTCATCCTAATTAATTTTTCTTAAGGAACGTATGCAAGAAAATTATGACACATAATATGAGACGGAGGGAGTATAATACATAGAAACATGTGAAATTATACCAGTTGAATGGTTGAATCAGAAATTTATATAAAAGAATTTTAGAAAAAAATACTACTATAATATTACATTTTGAATTTAAGCATATGACTTAAAGTAATTTGTGAATTTCCTTGTCTACTGAACTAATTTTTGAATTTTCTTGTCTACTACAGTAATTTTTGAACTCCCTTATCTATGAGTGTTTCATTTCGCATTTACTCAAACATTGCGATATAAATTAATACTTATTTATAGGTTGCTTGGTCAAGTTTTCTTTGGCCAAAAATACTTTTATTGAATTTAAGATGTTTGCCAAGTTTTTAGAAGGAAAAAAGTATTTTTGAGTTGAAACGGTTTTTGAAAAGTAAAATAAATAGTTTCTCCACAAAAGTACTTTTTTAAAAAGTACCTTTGAGAAAAACCACACTTAAAAGTATTTTTAAAAGCTGTCCAAACACTAATTATTATACTAGTTTCTTGACACGTGCATTGCACGTGTATTCCTATTCGTTCGGTACAAATATGATAAAAGTTAAAATATGCATTTAATGTATAAAATAGATTTTGTGGAAAAAAATACAAGCTCAAACATGGGAAGCCTCTTCGATCTCCCAAGAATGATAAATTGTTTCTTCGTAATCATTAGCGTATCTTATTTCTTATAAATTATATTCTTGCATTTCAATTTCCAAAGAATATATTTACATGGAATAATAAAGTTATGCATGTGTCCAAAACCCCAATTACCTAATACTCTATTTAATATTATTCGAAATTATTCCATTTCTCAAAGATGTAAACTTGGTTTCTTATACCATATATTCTACCTTGATCGATATTGTTGGGATATACTATTAACCATGCGGTTTAGACATAGTATTATATTTTGTTTTTTATGAAACAGTTGTTTATTTAATTTATTCAATTCAATAAAGCACTATTTTAAATAGATCATTTGTAACATGTGTGTCCTTTTGATTATGTAGTAGACAATTTAGTGTATGGAGTCTTAGCTCATACACAGAAGATTAAATTGTTGGTTCTCATAATTAATAAACTATGTTCACGATCGAAGATATTATCGGACAAAATATCTTGATGATTGTAGCACAAGATTATTGTATAATTTGTCTTGATTATGGGAGTAAGTCTACTCCAACTTCTTGTGCTAGTATACTCAGTATATATTGAACGGACCAAGTAGAGAAAAAGTGTTTTTGTACTGAATACATATAAAACACTTCTCTAATTCATTAATGAGCTTATACTCCTAATCTTGATATAATTATTATGATCAATGTAATTTGTTTATTGTTTTGATTTATCAAAAGGTACGACTCTATTTAGAGTTAGTATATGTCTAATAAATTGGACAATAACAAATAACATTTGTGAATAATAATTAGTTGATAGAATCCATGACTTGGTTTTTGGGTTTGATAATACCCCTTTATATAAGCTTATAAGTCTTCATGTGAAACCCCGGCCGGTGAATTTTGTATCCGTCACATGAGATAGTTTAAGCGGAATTATAAAGGATTTAATTAGTTGATTGAATTAAATTTTCAGTGATTTAATTTAATTAACTGGTATTTGCAATCTTAACATGGGGAGTTAAAATAAGTGTTGATGAATTTTTGAAATTCATATTGAGGAGTTCAATTGCAGTTTTTTAGTGGAATAAATTGCAATTAATTATAGTAGGATCTAATTCTTGCCTACTTCGAATTAGTACTATAATTAGTAGCCTCTTATTATTTCTGTGGTCTCTGCTATACCTAGTAATAACCTGGACAAACTTGGGTAAAAAGTAGCTTGGGAGAAAAGTTACCTTTTTGAGTTGGAGTAGGATTCTACTTATGGAATCCTACTCCACACGTTTTTGAGCCTATTTTTAGGGCTTAATTTCGTGTATAAAAAGGAGACAGGTTTCTCCTGTTAACTACCCTAGAGTTGTATTGTTCTTGCCCACCCAAAAGCAAAAGTGTTCAAGGTTTTACTAGGCATATAGCAGAAGACTACAGCCCTGGATTCTTGTTGCTTGGAGAATTTGTGCAACCATTTCAAGAGGTTAGTGTTCCTGATCTCGTTATTATTGCGTTGTCTAGTTTACATGTAATTGATGCCTGATTGTATGCTTGCTTCCGCTGCGCATGTTCTAACAATTGGTATCAAACGCCGTCTCACATCTAACTAGATAATGTAATACAGCATACATAGAAAAAAATTAAAACGTGTTATTCATTGATACATGTTTCGGATAATTATTCTATGTTAAAAACATGAATGTTTTGTATGATATTCTGTAATTTTGGATTAATATACAGAATTTTTGGATTTCCTGTCAAAACACGTTTTCTGAAATCACATCTTGTATCGCCGCGGTCCGGGCGTAACCGCGGTAGGACCGCGGCAGAACACTGCCTCTGATTCTGAAGGTCACTCTAGCCGCGGTCCTGGCGTAACCGCGGTAGGACCGCGGCAGTACATGCAACCTTCAGAGCCAAAAATTGCAAAACACACGATTTTTAGGTCCTAAACCCTAAATTAAATGGGTTTTACCGTAATATAATGAATTTATATGTTGACATAGGTCTTCTTCCACATCGGATAAATTCATTATAGATGATTATTGTGTTCTTCTTTAGCCTCTAGTTATTTCATTACTTGTATTAACTCTCCAACTGAGTTACATATTGATTGAATGAAACTAGAGTTTTATAAAAAGTGATATTTACCTATCTTAAATTAACAGTTTACTCTCCATCTGAGTTGGTCCTGTTTAAATTTTTGGGGTTAATATCTGACATCACTCATGTATTTTGTATGAATAGTTAAGTTTCCCTAATGAATCGAACTGTTCACAGAGCATGGTTATATGTGTAATGTGTAATTTTGAATTTAATCATTCTTAATATATAACTAATGATCTATTTAATGTGAATATCTCCCAGATTAACCATGTCTTCATTCAACCCACTTACCTCAATTTTGAACCAAAACAAGCTAGAAGGACCAAATTATGTTGACTGGAAAAGGAACCTTGATATTGTCCTAACTGCTGAAGGTTACAAATTTGTAATCTCTGAGGAGTGCCCAGAAAAACCTGAAAATGCTACGGATGATCAGGTTAAGGCCTATGACAAATGGGTTAAGGCTGATGAGATGGCGCGATGTTA